TCCACTGTTGGTGAGAGTGCAGACTGGTACAAACACTGTGGAAATCAGTATGGAGATTCCTCAAGAAACCAGGATCGGAAGTTCCATTCAATCCAGCTACTCCCCTCCTGGGTATTTCTCCAGAAAAACTGAAAAGGTCATGTCACAGTGATATATGTGCACCCATGTTCACAGCAGCACAATTTGTGATAGCTAAATCTTGGAAACAACCAAAATGTCCATCAACTGCAAAGTGGATGAAAAAATGTGGTATTTTATACAATGGAATACTATTCAGCTAATAAAAAGGATGATCTTGAGGCCTTTATAGGTAAATGGAGGCAATTTGAGAATATCCTCATTAGTCAAATAAACAAGACTCACATTAGTAAATATCACATTGTCTCTCTAGTGTAAAAGATAATAAGAACTGACAGAATAATGGGACCCAAAAACTATAATAGATATTGTAAAAGTGAAAGGGAAGGAAAGTGCTCTAAAACATATAACAGTATGTATATTGTATAAGATAGATGACCATATTACTAAATTTTGATCAGATCATTGAACAGAAGAGATTTCACTGTCAATGTTTGAGGGCTTAGCCACTGTTTATCCTTTGATTTTGTAACTTTAACAACTATTGTTAAGATGACAATATGTAATATATCAACTAGCGATTTTACAATGTTACTCTTTTTGAATCTTGTATTCTACTTTTTTCTCCGTTTTGTATTTGTTTTTTAAAATATTCTTTCTTTCTTTAAATAAAATTTTAAAAAACATTTTTCAATAAGAAGCTTCAAATATTATTTCTGCCAACCTGAATAAAGGCCTCAGATATTTATGAAATAGTCAACTCCTTGTTTTAAAATAGTTGTGCATACATATTTGAAATTATATAACAAAAGAAATATTGATCTTCCAGTATTTTTTAAACTCATGTATCATGAAAATATTTTATTCTACTTCTCCCATGCATTCTTGATAATATCTCTGTTGTTATAAGAGCTACTTTGAGATATTTAGCAGTCTTCCACTGCTACCATCTCCATTTCTGAGGACGTGAAGGTACTTTATTAATCCACATGTACATTCATTTCAGGAAATCCTTTGTCCTGAAATTATATAACTGAGAGCTCTGCAACAAAGACTTGTTTTATAAACTTATGCCTTCCAGTTCTTACATCTGTAGAGTTATTTCCCAGGAACAACTACTAAGTCAGCACTAAATGTCTTGTCTCCTTTCTTACTGATTCTTTTTTTAGAGAATTCTTTAATTAGAATTTTCTAATTAAAGTAAAAATGGATTCAATACCAGCATGAACAAAGTACTATACCAGGATTCTCAAGTAAGATAAATTGAGTCAGGCATGGTGGTGCCTGCCTGTAATTTCAGCTACTCAGGAGGCTGAGGCAAGAGGGCTACAACCTGGAGGCCAACCTGGATAACTTTAGTAAAACTTTGTCTCAAAAATAAAAATTGGCTAGGATGTAGTTCAATGCAAGGACCTGATTCAAGTCTCATCAGCAGAAAATAAAAAAAGAAAAGAAAAAGAAGTTGAGAAAAATTATCACAAGGAAGATCTTACAAGAATTTAAGTGTAAGATGTCTCTCACTTGTCTGAAGAATACATTGGTGGGGGGACCCAGTCTTTATCTTCTAGTTGACCATTTTCACAGCAGAGAAAATTATAATGTGTGGCTGGCACTAAAGCAAGTGCACAAGACTGCTCAGGTTGAAACTACCCCTGCCTGCTGGGTCCAAGCAAGCCCAATCCTGCATCCCACGGTGGGGAAAGCTCTGCTCTCCCGAGAGGCCAACAGGAACATCAGGACCTCTTCTCTGAGGCAGGACACACGGCGGTATGGTCAGAGATGCCAACACTAACTGTGTGATGTCAATAAAGTGACATGACCTCTCTGTGCTTTAGTGTTCATAGCTGCCCTCACAAAGTGACACAGGATGAGACCTGGCTGAAGGAACCAACTTAGAAACATATCCTGTACATAGTAGGCACTTGGTAAATGCTAGATTCAATAATCCTGCCTGATTTCAAAAACAAAGCAAAGCAAAATAACCCTCAAAACACAGACACCCAAAAACCGTGATTAGAAACCAAGATTAATGCCTCCAAGTCCTCTCACTCTTACAGCCCTTTCACAATAAAACTCACCTGATGATAATACCTGACAGACGCTCAAAGCGTCCAATCAAATTTTCAGGTCAGAGCCAAGAATCACTAGAGATTTCAGAAATTCATCCCTATGGAAGACAAACTAAAGCAAAGATACAAATACACTGAGAAAAAAACTCTGAAGAGAAAGATGATATTGGGAATACAAGCAAACTTGAATATGTATACACATGACTGCGTATAAATATGTATATATACGTAAACATATATATACACACACCTGAAATTGTTAAAGCATAGGTTTTAGAAAAATACACACAAAAATCAAACTTTATAAAAAAAGGAACTGTCAAAAAATGAATTCTTGATAACTAAACAACATGGTGGTTGAAACAAATTCAATAGAAAGTTTTCAAAATACTAATAAGGACAATTTCCAAACAGTAAAAGAACTACTGAAACAGTAGAAAAAAAAGAGGAAGAAAAAACTAAGAATATTAGAGGATTAATCTCACATTCCATCAGCAGGAGTCCTGTAAAGAGAGGGCAGGAGAAAGAACAGAGAAGCAAATGATTCTGAAACACAAGAAAATTTCCCATTTAAAAGGATTCTGCATTTTCGAATAGAAAGTGTTTACTGAGTATGCAGCATGAGGAATAAACAAAGGTCCACACTCATGGCACTTCAGGATGAAATTTTAGAAACCTATTGTGATAAAATCAGCATGATATTGGTAAAAAAACAAAACAAAACAAACAAACAAAAAAAACAGATCTGAGGATCACTGGAACAGAACAGAAGATACAGTCACATCTCCCAATACATTCAGCCACTTTATGTTTGACAGAGGAGCCAAACACGTTCACTAGTACAGGAAAATCTGATTCTGCACATACTAAAGACTAAACCTAGGCCCATGTCTATCATTAAGCACTAAACTGATGTCAAAATGGATCAAAGATGTACATATTAAGACAGAAAAACTAAATTTACTGGTAGAGAAAACAGGCAGAAATATCAAAGACAGAGGTATAGGTAGAGAGTTAATGAACAAAACGCAGACTGCTAGGGAAATAGTCCAAAGAATCAACAAATGGGACCTCACCTTATTAAAAAGCTTCTGCACAACAAAAGAAATTACCGACAGAGTGAAAAGATGATCCACAGAGTGGGAAAAAATTATATCCAGTTGTCCCACAGACAAAGGAATTACATCTAGAATATATAAAGAACTAAAAAAACTTAGACTCCTCAAATTCAAAGACCCAGTCCAAAAATGGGCATCTCAGTTGAATATGCACTTCTCAGATGAAAAAATACAAATGGCAAATAAATATATGAAAAAATGTTCAATATCATTGGTTATTCAAGAGATACAAATTAAAACAACACCGATATTTCACCTCACCCCACAAAGAATGGTGATTATCAAGAAATCAACCAATAACAAATGCTGGCAGGGCTGTGGGGAATAAGGAACCCTTCTCCATTGTTGGTGGGAGTATAGACTGCTGAAACCATTATGGAAATCAGTGTGGAGATTCTCAAAAAACTATGATTGGAGGTTCTATTCGACCCAACAATTCCCCTTCTGGGTATCTTCCCAGAAGAATGAAAATACCACAGTGATATATGTGCACTCATGTTCACAGCAGCACTGTTTGTAATAACTAAATCTTGGAAACAATGCAGATGCCCATAAACCAAAGAATGGATAAAAAGATGTAGGGTTTTTTTTTAACATAATGGAGTATTACTCAGCCATAAAGAAGGATAAAATGGAGACTTTTATAGGTAAATGGATGCAACTCAAGATCATACTCATAAGTGAAATAAATCAGATCCATGTATCTACACATCATATTGTCTCACTAGTGTGAGAAACTGAACAAGTAAATAAGACACAAAATGTACAACAGATATTGTAAATTGGGAAGACACTGCTCAAAAGAAAGACAAACTGTGATGGGGGAAAGAGGATAGCAAGAAAGCAAAATGGAAAAAATACATGTATACACAAGATAATTAAGATAGTTATATAGGTAACTTAGTTTCTTAAAAATAAAGTTTTTGCTGATATTCTTGGACAAGATATCATGCCTATGTCTTGTACTATGAACAACTACAAAGAACAATATACAATGTATCAATTATTGTATCTGTCCTAGTAACCTGTTTTGAAACTCAGTTTCACTGTTATGTTTATCTTTTTCTTTTCTTTCTTTAAAACTAAAAAAAAAAAAAAGGCAAAACAAATCTACGTCTAAGGAAGGGAGTAAAATTATATATACAACCGGTTAGGAATCAGAAAGGTATTGCTAGAGTGAAAATGGTTTTCAGGTCATCTCTGGGTGCTGACATTAGGATTTTTCTTTTTTCTCTTCTGTTCTGTCTTTCATGTAATCAACATATATGATTTTTATGGTCAGAAGACTATTTTAATACACCAAAACCAAACCTAGGTTTAACTGGCTCTGTTTCTTATCTGTCTTCATAGGCCACACTCTGTCCCCTTCAGGTCGCAAAATCACAGCCAGGAAAGATGCTGGATTGCAGAGAGCACAGGGGACAAGCCAGCCACCGCACCCAGGGACACCCCAGCCGCTGCCACCCCATGAGCCCGTCCACTGTCACTCACTCGGCTAGCAAGCATACACTTTGAGGGCGCTCCAAGAATATTTCACTATCTGAAGGAAAAGAGGAAAAGTCCTCTATTATTTTTCCTGAGACACATTTTCTATCCATTATGATCACGTCTCTGCTACTGCAGTTGGCATTTATTTTAATAAGGAAACGCTAACTGCTGCAATTTGTCTTCATTCTACTTATCGAACCACATCTTCGGCTTTGCCAAGAGGTGAGCTGCCTATTGACGGACTCACCTGTGGAGAAAATGAACACCGTGTTGTTCCACAGCCCGTGACTTTCTAAGGCTGCAGTGACATTTCCTACTGCTTCATCCATGAGGGACACCATCCCTGCATAAAGACGCCTGTTCTTATCACGAATGAAGTCATAGGGTTTCAAGTATTCCTCCGGGACCTGAAGGGGCTCGTGGACAGACTGGAGAGCCAGGTAGAGAAACAAAGGCTGAAAAGAGAGTTAACCCACATCAGTTACGAGACAAACTCAACCCAGGAACACATATGTAATTCCATTGAGGTGTTTAAGGTATTTAAGTGAAAACAATAAACATAGAAGAATGAGATACTCCAGTATTAATTAATAAAAATAGCATCAAGACAACCTACAGAGTGCATTGGAAATATCTGTGCATCATGTATATGATACAGGATTCATTCAGATGACATAATAACTCTTATAACTTAATAATCAAAGGCAATTAACTACAAAGTGGGCAGAGGATTTGAGTAGCTAGTTCTCCAAAGAACATATACAAATGGCTATAACCACACGGAAAGAATATCCAAAAATGCTTTGAAAAATGCTAAAAATAAATAAATAAAAACTACACTGACATATAGCTGCATACCTACCAAGATGGTTACAATTTCTTTTTTTTTTTTTTTTTTTTTTTTTTTTTTGGTCTTTTTCTTTTTTTATCAGTACCGGGAATCGAACTCATAACCGCCTGCTTGCAAGGCAGGTGCTTATGCCGCTGAGCTAAATCCCCAGCCCTGGTGGTTACAATTTCTAAAATGGAAAATACCAATAAAGTTGATGAAGATATGGAGAAATTGGAACCCTCAAACATTTTGAGTAAGAATGTAAAATGATATAGCCACTAAAAAAATAATGTGGCAGTTCGACAAATGGTTTAATGTAGTTAGTATATGACCCAGCATTTCCATTCCTACAGAAATGAAAGCACACCCACATGGAAGCTTGCATGAGTGTTTACCGCAATGTTTTTCCTAACAGCCAAAGGTGGAGCAACCAAATGGCCATCAATTGAATGGGTTAGTCAAACTTGGTAGATTTGCAGCCATATATGACAGTAAAAGAAATGGAGAATTACAATACAAATGGATCTGGGGCAACCCACTCAGGACCCCTTCTGCCCCTCTCTCAGATAGAAGCTTTCTTTCTCTCAATAAACATATTCTGCTCTTAATTATAATTGTTCCTAAAATTAATTCTTTGATTTTAGAGAAAGTTGTACTGGACATAGAGTAGGTTGGGAGTTTCACTCTCCTATATCATTTGGAGGTCTTCCACTGAGGTCATTGGATGGAGGTGAGAGTGCTTTTGTTTCATAGATTCTGGACTGGGACTCGTTTAGGTAACAAATTTTTATGTTTCAAATTTTGCTTTTTCTTTGCTTGTAATTGCTGATGATTTGTCTTTTCCTCTTTTCCCACTGTTTATAATTGCTTTGTCTCTATATAGTTTTGTTAAAATAATGATAAATCTAAGTTAAAATGGGATATTTGTAAGATTTTATTCATATATGCTACAGTTAAACTAGTTACTAAATTATTGGTACTCCTTTCTTGACTTTATTTAGACAACAGTACTAGAGAAAATAATGTTAGAATACTTGTGATAGACTTTTAATATAAACTTCTATAAAATGGGTCTTTAATATCTAGCTCAGACTTAGAAAATATACATGCCTATAATAAAACACAGAACTCCTTTCACCATTTAAATAGCACTAAGCTGGTGGCTGTTCTTTAAGACTTAGAGGGGCCAGGGATTTAGCTCAGTGGCATAAGTGCCTACTTGGCAAGCGTGAGGTAATGAGTTCAATCCCTGGTACCAAAAAAATGACTTAAGGGACAGGTTTCACTGGGACAGAATGGCTCTGATCCTCCTGTACACTCGAGAGGAAATGTCAAGCCTGTTCTGCTTCAGTTTCTTTCTTTGTCTTTACTTCTACCAATTTGTCCCACTTTGTACTTTCCTTTTTAGAGGCATGTAAAATTAGAAAGAACTCTAGACTGCTCCAACCTGTTTCTTCTACCAAGTTAAATTCATAGAAAATGAGTGCTTGCTAATGCAGAAGACAGGAACGTCATCTTAAATGAGGGACACATACCCCATCTCTGGGTCAATGAGACACTGGAATTTTGCTCGTCCAGGAGAACACACATAAAAACCATGTCCAGCTTACTGTTTTGGACAATGGTCTCCTCTAGAGACTGAACCTGAGACACAGTGGAAAGAATGACTTCTGGGTGAAACCAGGAGCTATCCCCCAAAACAGCGCACTTATGGGACTTGGACTTAAACACATTTAGACTAAGGAGGCTTTCCAATCTTTCAAGTTGTGGACTTCAAAACCTTTATTGTAAATTCATAGAGCACTCTTAGAAAATGATCTTGCTCCAGCTCTTAACTATCACTTGTAGAACTTTGACAAACATGGTTACTCTGCCAGCTAACTAAATGCCCTAATAGCAGCTGCCACGCTTAAAAGCAGAGCACAAGTTTCCCCAGCATCTGTTTGGTGAATCCCCAGTGAAGCCAGTGGCCAGTGGAATGTTGACCAGATAGACAGGTGGATTCCTTTCTGGAGACTGACCTCTAGTTATATGGGCCAACAGAAAATGAGAACAACTCAGGGTTCATGGCCAGAGGGACTCTCTGGTGGACATCCGAAATTTCCTCAGTGGAAATTGGCTCTGACAACAGAAAATCTCCAGTTGTCTATCTACTTATATTTCTTTGCTAGTCAACTAAAGATGTTCCCTAAACTTTTCAGGCAGTTAGACCACCTCTCTCAGAAATTAGGCTGAGAAAGAAACTAGTAGGGAATGATTTGTATTTGTGCCTCACGTATGTTAACTAAGAGAAAAAGAGATATCCATCAATCTTTTCCATGTGCAATAAAGACTGATGTGCTTTTATTATCAGATCAAATGTAATTTATACATGATAAATATGTTTAACTTATGAGCTTCAAGTAAAGCCTAGGCATATCCCACTGCTAGGAAAGATTGCCTAAGCAATTAGATAGCAGACACAAATGCCTTGGAGACTTTGCCTGAGGCCCCAGGGCAGAGCTCCTCAAATTTATTTGTTATCCTTAACTATTTCCAGGGAATCTCCTTCACAAAACAGCCAGAGAAGTGCTCTAACTCACTTCTTCACAATAAACAAAAGCAATAGTTTATTATAAAGTTATGCTTCCTTCTTTACAACTAGGCTATGGAAACAAAGTTCACATGCTACCTGGGAAGATAAGATTGCATGCCAGTTCAAAGGTGGATAGGCTGGCCAAATTTATCTTCTATTCTTTCCAGAGGTCATCCACTTGCCCTGGAGTGGAATCAACCTGAGGGATGCCTTGAGGAGATTTATCAAATAGGAATAAGAAAGGGACACCTAATTATTTCCTTTGTACACAGACAGCTCAATGTTAATGTCTCATACCCCTATGCCTTGCCTTTTACGTTACAAACATGGGCGACTCAATGCCAAAGCCTCTTACATCTTTGGAATGCTTTCTTAAGCACTGGAAGATGTTTGACCCTTCCATGTTAAAAAAAAAAAAAAAGAGCCATCTGATATTTCTTTGCACATGTGTGTGGTCTACTTACACCCTAAAACCAAAATGGAATACAGAAAAAAGTATTATGATGTTCTTTTACAACTAAAATTATACTGTAAGAAAGAGGAAAAGTAGTCAGAACTGCTTTATGTTGAAACTTTCTTTACAAGAGATAATTCTTATTTATGCTTCAGGTAGAATTATAATCCTTATGAGATCACCCCCATTCATGGTCTCTTTCTTTCAATGACTTAAAGCAAATTAAACTAGAGTTAGGAAAATTTTCAGATAACCCTAATAAGTACATCAATGTCTTTAGAGGACTTATTCAGACCTATAAGCTAGGCTGGAAAGATATAATGTTAATCTTATATCAAACATTGACTTATAGGCAGCATTATAAGCTGCTACTGCACTGGGAGATGAATATCATATCGTTAATTTTAAAAGGTCAGAAGAAAGACAGCCAGGGGCACTACCAATTCCCACTGGCACACAAGCAATTCCCAGCCAAGAGCCCAAGGTTATCAGGAATAACGGACCCTACCTCAGATTCTTTCAGATGCTAGGAAAGTGTCCATGCTCTCATCTGGTGATTTCTGTAATGCTACCTGCAAGAGGCACTATACTAACCATACTCCTTCTGTGCTCTGCAAATTTCTAGGGCGCCCTGTTTACTCTGGTATCAGTGCTTTCCCTATCACTCCATTAAGACAGCTCACTCACAAAGAACTGGTTCACCCCAGCTGCCTCGTCTTATTCACTTAATCTTATGGAGTACTCAGTTCCAGGTGAGTACTCCACCATTCCTTCTTAGAATGAATTTTTACTGTAGACAGAGTATATGTGGCCTCATTAAAGTACTGTTAGATTGTGAAACTTTACCAAATCATCACTGGCATGTGCTTATCTCTGTGTTTGGGGCAGTGCCCAGGACAATACATCACAGAATGCCCTTACCTGCCAAGGTACCCATAGTGGACCAACATCAGAATCACTCATTGGAGGTAGGGGTGAGGGAGGTTAAAATACTAATGACTGGATCCCACCTTAGACCAATGGACCTCAATATTTGGTATCAGCATTTCTTACAAGTTTCTCAAATAATTCTAATACATGATCAGGAATAGAGGCATTCAATTCAACCACAAGATGGGACTCAGAATCCCTGATCCCAGGGGCCAGAGATGTAACTCAACAGTGCAAGCACTGCTTGGAAAGAACAAGATCCTGAGTTTAATTTCCAGTACAAAAAAAAAAAAGACTCCTTGGTCCTAGATATCAGCTGAGAAGTAGAAAGGCTGATTAAGGGCATAAACTCTGGAATCAGAGAGTGGAAAACAGGCTCACTAACACTGGCAGACCAGACCATCAAGATGACCATTCTCCACAAGCTGACACACAGCTTCCATGAACCCCAGATGGAAACGGGCACCTTTTTATTTTATTCCTTTGCAGAAACTAACTAGCTGATTGTAAAATTAATATGGGAATATAAAAGAGCTAGCATATTCAAAGTAATCTTAAGGGAGGGGGTGAAAGACAGAGGAGTTGCCCTGAATCCAAAACTAAGCATCCCTTAACAGGAAGTTTACCATAATAAAGCCTTATCTTTGACATAAATCAATTGTTAAAAGGAAAAGATCATTTTACTAATTACTTAATGCATGTGCACATAACACATCAAAATAATGCAAGTCTATTTCTACTGAAACATTATAGATGTGGGATTCTACAGAGTGTGACCTGAACCACTCACCAGAATCACCTTTTAAGACTTCCTTTAAAATGCTAACACATGATTTCTCCCAGTCCTAACAAGTCATGCTCTCAGAGGTGGGCTCCAGGAATTTTCATTTCTAACAAGCATCTCAGGCTGATTCTCATGCACTCTAATAAAATGTGAAAAATGAATGCCCCCTCAGAATTTATTAGACTTTCCCCTAAATATCAGTGGTCTTTTCTATCTAAACAAAATTTTGGTGTCATTAAGGAAGCAAGACTTACCTTCTCTGGAGGATGGTTAGCTATGAGGGATATAGCCCTGTTGGCGAATATGTTTGCTGAATACATGTTTTTATATTCTGTTGCAACTTCTTCACCATCTCGAAAATCAAGAGCACATCGTGTGACGTTCAAAGCCTTAATGAACACACAGTGCTCATGGGAGAAGTAATCTTCACTACCTAGGAGATATCCTACAACAAGAATTAAAGGCAAAAATTGTCAGCATGGCACAAAACTTGTTAAACAAACTAATGTTTGTTTAATTGCCTAATGTAATTGATTACCCCTGACAAGGCTAATCAAGCAACAAGACTCATCAGAGCAACATTCTTAACATCTCTATAAGTGGTAGAGAAGTCATTAAAATGTTATAGCATACGAATTCAAATGCACTCCTATTGAGAATCTTTAAGAATGTAGGCTCTATCATGTAACTCTTAAAATGGGCGAGTCCACTTAAATATGTTGAAAAAAAAGTTCAAATTCAGTAAAGAACATCAAAATCCTTTAAAGCTATCTAAATGGTAAAAATAATATATGGTTAATGTGATTAGCTGCAGGCTTATACAGCGAGGTGGTACTGTAAATGTTCACAAGATTCAAATAATATTGCTTGTTGGTACTGAGCATGGGAGTGGCTGCCACGTTATTTACAGCTAAGGGAGTGGAGGAGTCGTCTCTGGTCAGATGCTGACACCCACTGGTGGAAGATACAAACCATTCCAGAGGAGCTCTGGATAGAGCTAGGCAGCTATAAGACCAAACTAAACCATAGTGCTGAATCTACTGGTAGGGATCCTGATTTTGCTCCCAGTTTAAAAGGCCTCAATTAACCTGGTCCACAATTGAGACATAAACATGTTCTATATTTTCCTAAAATATTAAAATAGACCATGCTGGGTATTATCATTCCATTGACATAAATGTCCGAAACAGGTAAATGTACAGAAACAGAAAGAGCTGAGATTGCTGAAGGCTGGAAGGGGTACAGGGAAATGGAAAGTGAGTGCTAATGAGATTTTGTTTCTGTCTCATTTGTTTGGTTTGAGACAGTTTTACAGATCGTGCAGCTTCCACAAGCTTTCCCATAGATGACACTTCTGACTGAAGCTGGCTAATGGGTTAAAACTGTTCTCTGGCAAAAGATATCTTTTGCTTTCCTCCACCCCCAGTATTATCATGACTATCTACACGTTTAGTGATTTCTAAAAACAGGACCTTGCAAATCACTAACTTTTCTTTAGAGTTACAGAGGCCAGAGCATTACTGAACTGCAACTAACTGCAGCAGGTGCATCAGACAAGCAGACCACCCAGGACCCCACACCCTTGTCTGGAACTAAACTGTACCTCCCCAGATTCCTACACAAGCTTTGCACCTGAGCCCCTGCACAAGTTTGCAGAGCAAAAATCCTTACCTTACAACTTGAAACCAACACAGCTCTTCCAGCCTATCACTCTCTCTCTCTCAACTTACCGCTTCAGAAAAGGGTTGAAGAATGACATCTTTTACCCTTACTAGAACACCATAAGTCCAGTTTGGGCTTTTAACAACTACTAAGTATTAAGAGCTTGAGGAAACAACCTCAAGTTCCTTACCTACAAATGTACATGTCTTCTATCTTTTGGGAGAATTTATGTGTAGGATATACTTTATTAGATAATATGAGAACTATTAGAATTGAACCATCACAAGAAGAATTCCAGAAGTAAAGCTATTATGGTTTCTATCTAGATGTCCCGAAGAGCCTTGTGCATTCTGGTGGGCTTCCAGAAAGTCCTTGAATCACAGGGAATCACTGCTCACTCACTGTCAGGAGGTGACTCTGGTCAGAAGAGGCAATCACCGGGCACGCAGCCAGAAGGGTGCCTCTGCCTCCCTGGTCCCTACCCTCCCAGTCTTACTGCCTTGTGCTGGCCAACTATGAGCTAAAACTGGAAGCCAATGTAAATATCTCCTTTTTTGAGGTGTGGGTATTGGGTATTTTGTCCTAGCAATGAGAAAGTGACCATGACAAGAATTATTTGTATTTGGCCAAACAGATCCTAAAGCAACTCTCTGATGATCCTATAAAGCTTTCATCCTAACAGTTATTCACAAATTTGAACTCTGAAGCTGAGCCTACAGATGAGAACAGCCTATGCACTTTGGAGAAAAATTAGAAAATACTTTTTAAAAAATAATTCAATCCCTTGGTGGAAAGCGCTTGACTTGGGTGACGCCATGGACTAAGACCCAGTAGGCTAGCCCAAACCAGGTCCCTGCGCCTGGCAGTGCACCCTAATGCAGTGAAGCCTTCAGCAGGTTGACTGACTTGGAGGGGTGGGCCCAGCATAGGTTGCCCAGGTCTGTGTCTCCCTAGTATACTGCAGTGGATAGGAACACCTAGTCTGCACGATTCAAACAAACTGTAACCCACCAAGAAAGAACCTGAGCCTCCTATATATGATTGTATGAAAGGAACAAAAATTATGGGAAGAGGGAGCAACAAGAAAGGATCCTCAGTCCCCAATCCTGAGAACACTGATCCAGGAAAGGTAAATGCAAAGGAGAATGAGGACAGAAAACATGCAATACCACCAATACACATAAAGCAGTATCTCCGGGACCTCATAGATGAGTTCAAAAGTGAAGTATTTAACCAAGTAAAGCAAGATATAAGTAGAATAGTTAAAGAAACGCTAAGCACCTCCCAAGAAAAAACAGATGGTGGAATGGAAGAACAGAAAAAAAGGGGAAAGTTGTTTGATGGAGAAAATAAGAGAAAATGTAGAATACATGAAGAAGGCTCAAAGAGATTAGCAGGAAGATCTATTGAAAAGCTGGCATAATAGCTTGAAAGAAACAAAGGATAGATTATCTGAACTGGAGGACAGATTTATGTGGGAGCATGAAAGGAAAAACTTCTTAAAAATGAGGAAACAAGCAGTAACAATACAAAGGCTAGAAGATGATAAGAGGATCTACAGCTTAAGAATTAAGAATGTAAAGGAAGAAGCAGGGATACAAACAAATGAACTGCAAAGGCTATTCACAGAAATAGTCAAAGAGAACTTCCCTAATATGGGAAAAGGTAAAGATACTCAAATCTATGAGGCATACAGGACCCCAGCCACCTATAACCCAAACAGAGCTATACCCAGGCATATAATAATTAAAATTCCAGAAATCCAATATAAGAACAGAATATTAAAAGCCGTCAGAGACAAGAAACAGATCACTTACAAGGGAACACCCATCAGAATTACAGCAGACTTCTCAGCACAAACCATCAAATCACGAAGAGCATGGGGGGAAATAATTCAAGCTTTGAAAGACAATAACCTCCAGCCAAGATTGATGTATGCTGCACAACTGTCCCTAGAAATTGATAGAAAAACAAGGTGCTTCCAGGATGAAGAGGAACTAGGGGAATTTGCAACCACCAATTCAACTCTACAGGGAACACTGCAGGATATTCTAAAAGAGAAAAATACCAAGATTTTCCAGAAATACCAGAGACAGCGGCAGAGAGGCCACAATGAATGGAGCAGAAAGCAAAATGAAGGAGACAAACTGACAACTAATGACAGAAAAAGAGCTCAACAGAAACGAGGCAGAGAAGGTAGGATGGTAGGAACAGCTATTTTGGAGAAAACAAGACATCATAATAGCTAGTGCTGATTTATATCATCTTGTTTTGAAGTCCCATCAAGCTTTGATTGTCTCCATCGGTCTTAACAGATTGTATCTTACTGGATTTTATTATATGTGATAATATAAACAAAAACTTTTATAGACAAGGAGATTATACAGAAACCATTGTTCATTTTCTGTTAGTTGGTTCTAAATACCCTGTAATACTGTCATTCTCTTGAATAGTTTTACATTGTCTTGATATGTTTGATGCTACAGTATATGAAGTTATACTCAAAGATTTCAAGGAAAGAGACACTATGGTAACCACATAAGTCGGGATATCTTGTGATGAAACACTATTTTGCTTAAATGGTTATGTTCTGACCTGTGCTGTTTTGTTGTTATGTCCTCTTTTATCTCAATCTCCTTTTTTATTATTTACTTTTTTATCTTTTTAATTAAGGGAAAAAATAAAAAATAGCAGGATATATTATAGTAACCTACTTTGATTTCCTATTAACTTGATTTGAAACCCTGTATTGCTCTCACCATCTTGTTTTGACTGGTTTTACTCTATTCTGTTTTGCTTGATGGTACCAAGTTTGAGAGTATAGGCAACAACTATGAAGACACTAAGGTTCACTATGATGCCCATTCTGGTTTGACTATTATCTTCTTTTGAAGTCCTGTAAGGTCTCCAATGTTTTGGTTTTATTGGTTTTGTTCTTTATGGTTTTGTTCAATTTTATTATAACTGATGATATAGGCAATTCTTTTTAAGATAGCAAGAGGCATTATGGTAACCATTGTTGATCACCTTGTATACTGTTTTTACATTATGTACTACGTTATTACATTATGTACCATCCTTTTGATTTGACTGACTGTTTTGTTATGTCACATTTGGTTTTATTCTCTACAAAAAAAAAAGTAGTAGGAACTATGGGAGTAATAAAACCCAAAATGTGTAATTGTCATTGTAAAAAATAGAGGAAAACAAAGTGCTCAAAAGGATATAACTGCATGTATATTTAAGTGTATAAGATAGATAACCATATTACTGAGTTTTTGTTGGATCATTGAACAGAACTGTTTGCAGTCTCACTGTTTGAATGTCCACTTTATATGCTTTAATTTTGTAACTTGAACAACTATTTCTAAGATGACAATATGTAATCTATTAACTGGTGATTTCCTACTGTTCATTTTTTTTTAAATTCTGTATAACTTGTACCCTTTTTCTGTTTTTTTTTCTCCCTAAATAAAATTTTTAAAAAATAATAATCAATCCCTGACTGTTTTAATCGCTGTATTGAGACACAGTTCATATACCACACAAGTCTAAAGTATATAATTCCTTGATTACTTAGGGCATTCACTGGGTTGTACAAACAACACTGCCCCTATTTTCTTACTGTTTTTAGCAGAACATCAGTTGTGATGATGACACATGCTATGTGTCACCATACTCCAGGAAGCTTGTCACCTCTCATAGGATATGTGGGTGCTTGTTCATCTAGTCTAGTCAGACTTACTTCCCATCAAAAGTTATCTATCATGTTTATCTTTTTTCAACTGCATTTTAAAGTACATAACTTAGTTTTTAATAGCAATTAAAACATCAACTTACTTTAGCAAAGGCCTGGTCGAAAAACCTCAAAGGAAGAACAAGTTGTTCCATTAGAATTTCCAGATGACAACGTGATCTACACTTAAGTCTGATTTTTAGCAGCTACTTGAGGAGACTGAGGACACATCTGGGTTCATCTGGAATGCCAGGGTTGATTAGCAATGCCGGTCAGAGAACCTGATGGTACCGGCACACATGTTCTCCTGTCTGAGGTCCTTGGATTTTGATTGTACATGGATCCAAGATGGCCTCGCACTGCCAGTTGTTCTGCTTGCGTGGGTGTGGCCTCCATCTACGTCTCTCTCACTGAATTTCACTTACATGCACTGGCCTTTGTGTGAATAGAAAAGAATACCTGAAGAAACTTCTATAAGAAAACTACCACTTTCTTACTAAAATGATGTTTTGAAGGATGTTGTCTATGTTCTCCCAGAGAACTTTCTCTTAGGCCTAAGAGCCAGCAAATGCCTTACTTACTCTTCCTGAACATCTGGTTCCCATCTTCCTGTAAATAACGTGACTCTTGGTTTGGTTTTTTTTTCTCCAGCTCACGATAGACTTTAGAAATCTTATATCTTGGACTTGACTATGAAGCCTACCTAGGGCCACAAATATTTTTAATAATTTGATGCCGTTAATCTAAGTGTTCTATTCTCCCTGATCTTGTTATTGTAGTTAAAATTTTTATACTCAATATGTGTTCCCCTTTGGCTATGACAGGCTGTAAATAAACCAGGCAGCAGATGGGAAGGTAGGAGGGTAGCTAAATAGCTAGTTAGAAAGATAGCTCAATATAAAAAGGATTTGACAGAAAAATATAGAGCTACTGGCAAGATAAATAGGTTACTAAATAAGGCAGTTTGTAACAAGCTTAAAGGGCATTATTTTAAAACAAACTTTAGGTTTTGCATTTATTTTTATAGGGCTATCAAGTTCATAAAATATTTATTATATTCTTATTTTCCTATTAACATTTGTTATTTGTTATCCTCATTTTGTTAGTATTGGTTTTGATCCAATTATTATAATTGATCCTGATACAGTGATTTCAAAAATATACCTCACAGATGGGAGAAGGGTATCAACAAAAAACAACCTTCCACCACCCTCCCCGGAGGGGAGTAAAGCAAAACTTTGAATATAGCCCCGGGGGAATCCTGGAGACTTTCATGAAGGAAATATTGTGTGCTTGTATTAGATTTTACCTGTAATTAAGTACAAACCGGAGGCCATATCCTCTCCAGGTAAAAAGCCCCCAGGAGAGGCACATGGAAGACCCTTAAAGTCCATGGGAGTCCAGGACTGTGGCAAAGAGACCAAGCTGCTATACAGGCTCACGTCCATCCAGCTCAACTCAGCAATGTCAAGAAGCAGCATTAGAACGTGGCCTCTCGGCTGAGCTCAGCAATTTGTTACACGTTCAAGTTTCCCATTATTTCATCTGATTACACTGGGTGTGTTTTAGAGAAGGCACAGTGAATCTGAGCTATGAGAAACACATGCACGTCCATTACCAAAGTAGGTGTCAAATCCCCGTCGGGTGGGAAGGCATTCTTTCCGATACATTCCCAGGTGCCACTTTCCAACCATGTGGGTAGCATAGCCTGCTTCCTTGAGGAGCTGGGGCAGGAGCTTTTCATCCAGAGGAACACAGCTGGGCTGACAGGGCCAGATTATCTGATGCTGTAAACCTGTGTGGATCTTTAAAGAGAAAAACAAACTATGGATGAATGACATTGAGACACTGTAAGTAAGACTAGCACACCTAGTAGTTGTCTGACTTACTGGACACATCTGTTGATTTGGATGTTTAACTGTGCTCCTCTACTGGTTTAAGTATATTTCCTCACTAACTCAGTAGTTAACACAAACAGGATTTGAAAAGATGAAATATCCCAATAAACATGAGATATTTTCAACCAATGTTTATCAAAGCACCATGTCAGAAACCATTAACTTTTCCCTACCTAAAACAAAAAAAGTAGCAATAACATAAATTTTGGATCTTCCAAGGAAAAAGTGTTCCAATTCCTTTGCACGAGTTGATCTTTTTGTTTTGTGCTGTTTTGTTTTTTTGTTTTCCTGGTACTATAAATTGAACTCAGGACCTTACACTTGGCAGGAAGGTGCTTATGTCACTGAGATATGTCCCCTCTATGAGTGTTTGATTAGAATGGCACTCTTTGAAGAAGCCATTTTTAAGTGTTATTGAACAGTATAATGAAACCTATGTCATGTTTCTTATTCTACTTTGCATAAACCGAAATCTCAAAAGACAGTGATCAACTTTTCCTTTAAAAAAGTGGCCCAGCCCTCTGCTTGGGGAGCCTCACACACAGTTGAACAGGTCCACACTGCTGCTAACCTTTAAGAAATAACCACCTGTTGGATTTTAGAGTAACATTAAAATGGAATGTGTACAACAATTGAATTCCTCAACTTCCACTGGGGTTATGTGTCCGATAAACTCATCACGAGCTGAAAATTTCATAAGTAAAACAGGCATTTAATACACCTAAATTGCACTTGGTGGCACACACCTGTAATCCCAGCACTTGGGAGGCTGAGACAGGAGAATCACCATGAATTCTAGTCCAGCTTGGGGCTATATAGTGAGTTTAAAGTCAGCTCGAACTATATAGCAAGACTGGGTCTAAAAAAAAAAAAAAAGCTAACACACCTAATCTACCAAACATCACAGCTCCCCACGACCTCGCCGTAGTCAGAACACATTAGCCTGCCTTGGGGCAAAACCACCTAACACAAAACCACCTAAACACAAATACTAGTTTTTTGTTTTTGATTTTTTTCCATTTTTCTGGTACCAGGGATTAAACTCGGGATCTTTTACAGGGCTAGGCAAGCACTCAACCAGAGCTACAACCTCAGCATTTTTTTTTTTTTCAAGACAGGCTCTTGCGCAGTTACCCAGGATGGGCTCAAACTTTCCATTCTTCCTTCTTAGCTTCCCACAGTGGTAGCATTACAAGCATGTCTAGCAACAAAACTTATTTACAATAAAATACTGAACTTGTAACCTATTGAATACTGTACTGAAAGTTAAAACAGTGCGTATGATTTATATGGGCGTGATTTTGTTTTGTAAAGATAAAAATTCTTAAACTGAATCATTGCAAATTTCAAACTGTACATAAAATAGCTATTAACATATTCCTCCCTTTTCCATTAAAAGGGAAACTACAAATCTGTGTGAGCCCAGATTTTTTTCATCAGTTTTTACCAAAAATATACTAAAATATAGTGCAAGAATGAATAGCAGGAGGAGGATAACATTCTTTTTATTAACAGAAAAGATGATCAAAAAGTACAAAACAATGCTGCCCTTCTCACTTATTTTGCTTTGGAAAGTATAGCTATTTTTCACTATGTGTGGTAACATGTAGTGACTTTATTATTGTTATTTTTCATGGAATAAAATTTAATTTCTGATAAGATGGATTCTGAATGGTATAATTCAATGTATACTGCTTAGGTCCTCACGCTTCTTAAGCAAGTGCAGACATCCTAGACTGCAAAACTGGACAGCAGCTCCTGTTCTGCAGTGGCAGTGTTACTTGAGATAATCTTGAGGACAAGATGCCTAAGTAGTTGGATTGTTACAGGCAACTGAGTTAAATAAAAATATTATAGGCAGTAAGACAGGGCTGGGTCCTTGAAGGAGCCAGTACAGAAAGCCAGATATCTTACAACTATGGAAGAAACAGACACCTACCTCCTTATGGACCAGACCTCAAGATAAAAGATAAATCAAATGCACCCACATACTTCCTAAGGATAAGCATCAGGAATCGATATTCTAAATGTCTCCAACATCCTGAGGAAGCCAGGAGTCACCATCCCAAGCCCCTACAAAGAGAGTCCATTGCTCTCTAGACATGCCCACTTGCATGACATGACTCATTTTGCCATTTGTCCCTGGTCTAATCAATTTTACCTGAACAATTAACCCTACTGGTTGACCATAGTTCTGTCCCATCTCATGCCCATCTTGTGAGTTCTCATGTTTTCCCCACCTTAGACCTGCTTCAATTTGTGGTCTTGTTCTACAAAAGTTCCTAGAAAAGACAAAGTCTTTGGCAACCCACTCAGGACCTCTCACTCAGACAGAAGCTTTCTTTCTCTCATAAATATATTCTGCTTTTAACCTCCGTTGTTCCTAAAATTCATTCTTTGATTTTAGAGAACATGAACTCACACCAGATATATAGCAGGTTGAAAGTTTCGTTCCCCTGTATCAAGATGAGCAAAGGAGGGCATGAGCCTGAGATACTGGGCTAAGAGCAATCCAGGCATAAGGGACTGCAAGACCTGAACTCATGTGAAGTCCTTTGAAGCTCAACAGAGGAACCACTCTCAGATAACAGATGCCTCTTCACTCCAACCAGGTGCCCCCCCCCCCGGGGGGGGGAGACTTCCTGGGGGGCCGGCTTGTCTTCCCTTAAGACTTGTGCCAGGTTCCTTGTTCTGATCCAGATACCAGCTCCCCACCCCAGGAGCGCCTGACTTTCAGGACACACAAGGTCAGGTGCTCTAGTGTCCACAGCTGCTGCCCATGGACAGCAAGCAATTTGTCACATAGACATGATTAAAAATGTGTTTGTGAGTGACTCACTTATTTTGTAATTTGAAGTAGAATAATACAGAGCTTGGGGAGTTAAATCTGATCCTGACTCTGTTACTTGTTGGCTTTAAAACATTTGGCAGTAACTTCAGTGACTTACTTCAGTAAATTAGTACCATAATTAGGCTCCAGCTCCTCATCTGTAAAAGAAGGCATCAGCTCCCTCCCCAGGCAGGTAAAAAGGCTAACAACATAAAATGCAAGGTATACAGTAAACAACAGTATCACATAGCAGCTGTAAGCAGTGTTACTAACAAGCCTCTCCCTTTTACCGATAGGCCCCTTGGAATGTACTATACCACCTCATAAAATGCACACCTATCCTGCTAACCTATAATTCTGTCAGTACTAAATACTTATCACTGATTTTCTCAGATTCAGATATTGAGATCAGAAGACCCACAGAATTTTGCTTTGCTTTTGCTTTAAATATTTGACAATAACCAGATATAAACGAAGCCCCTCCAAAAGAATTTCAAATTCATGTTCTTTTTTATGTTTATTAAAAGCCACAATTAACTTTCTGACATAGTTTTGGATTTTATTTTTTGTATCTTTTTTTGTATCTTTCCAGAGTCAAAAACTTTTGGAATCACTCTCACTGTGGCTTGATTTCATCTTTCCACACTGTCCTAGAGAACCTTAAGGAATACCTTAAATGTTAATAAACCGGGTTTATTTTGAGAGTGATAAATCCACCACTATCTTGATGATGATGGTTTCACAGGTACAAATATACATCCAAACTTACCAAGTTGTATACTGCACTTGAAGCGTGTGTCATTTATTGTAAGTCAATCACACATCAATCAATATGGCTGTCTAAAAGTGAACACGGGTTGCAGCTTTTCTACTGAGATTGTATGCTTCTCTGAGCAACAATGACTGGGCACCTATGTCTGCATGCATGCTCCACTCTGTCAGGCCTGCCCTGCGCTTCTGGATTCTCAAGATGACAGAACCAGCAGGAGCCCTGGCTGGAGCAGAGGGGACCCAAGAAAGTGAGGGGCACTGGGCTGCCAGGTTGCCTCTGTTGCCTCGGCCTGGCCACTCATCTCTCTATGGAAGGCCACTCTGAAGGCAACCTTTCCTGTTACCCCTTCTAGATTCTGGTAACCGCCTTCCCCTTTCTTCCTCTCTTTTGGTATAACGATGGTAACAGCCCCACTGGCTTACACAGAGCTCGTTTGTTTCCCCACACCTGCACACCTTTAAAATAAATCCTTTATAAATAAATGCATAGGACAGCTGGGCAGCTTCTCTTGAAAGAGACAATTTGTCTCCATTTTGGCTCACCTCTGCCCTACTTTCTTGTATTGGTATACACAGAGCTGACTAGGAAAGTACTCTACCTCCTCCACTGGCTCTAAGCAATGCAAATGGGTCTAGAGGAGCTCATGTGCAGTTTTTGAAGCATTGCCCTGTCTGTATCTCCCTAGGATTGAGCCTTGAGAAAGGGGTGGTTGATATCCCAGGCCAAGAAAAGTTAGATATCAGAGCTGACGCAGTTGACCCAGAACACAAGCTACTCCCTCAGACTGTGTATGCAGATTACTCCAAAACTCATAGGCTACCTGTTGTCAACCTAACCCAATACTTTTTCTGCGTACCTCTCTCTGCACATTGCAGAGGTGCCATTATGTCTCCGACCTAACCCAGCTCACAGTACTCAGAGTTCTTGCCATTCTCAGTCATTCAATCCCAAGCCACTCCCCCCTTCACAAATTAATAAAACCTAGGGTCGGCCATGGGTTGGGATCTTTGTTCTGGTTTGTCATTGTTCCAACTGGACTTAGGAGTCCCTTAGCTCTCCACAATTGCAGATATGACTTTGTCTTTTTATTCTTGCCATGGGTTGCACTGAAAGTGGTAGACTGGAATTTACTCACTAGAATTCCTATAACTTTTCCCTAGGTTTACAAATGTAAACTCCTCTGGACAGTAATGAGGTTAACTCCTGGATTGGTTTTCTATAAATAAATCCTCTCTAAATTGTCTTAACTTGAATACACTGTCTCTTTCCTGGGACCCTAAGCAATAAAACAGATTATAATATACA